TTTTTATAAATGCATTTATTTTAAAAGGTAAAATATATTTTTGCATTATTTGGTAATACTACGTAATTATTAAATAAAATAAATCTGTTTTTTTTTATTTTTTTGAAATGATATATACGGACTGATCCCGGTCCGTATATAGTTATACGGACTGGGATCGGTCCCAATATGCCCTGAACAATATTTTTTTATTTTTTTTTCTAGATTACTTTTGGTGAATTTTAAAATTTTTCATGTATAATATATTTAAAGTTTTACATATTTTATATCATTATTTTAAGTAATTATTTCCAGCATATTTTATTTTTTTATAAATGCATTTATTTTAAAATGTAAAATATATTTTTGTATTATTTGGTAATATTACGTAATTATTAAATAAAATAAATCTATTTTTTTATTTTTTTTAAAATGATATATACGGACTGATTTCAGTTCGTATATAGGTATACGGACTGGGATCGATCCCAATATGCTCTGAACAGCAACTTTTTATTTTTTTTTTCTAGGTTACATTTGGTGAATTTTAAAATTTTTCATGGATAATATTGTCATAACTCAAATTTTAGTAAAATATTATATTATTTTTATTTTTATTTTAACTAATATGTTTTATCTTTGTTTTACTTGTTAGGTTCATTCAAAAAAAAAAAATGGGGGAGAAAAAAGGAAATTTTACAAAGAAGATTGGAAAAGAAGATGAGAGAAAAAGGACTCAATTGAAGAAATGGAAAGTTGGAGGGGTGAAATGCAAAGTCTAGCCCAAAACCCATCAAACCCAATCCAAAACCTACCAAACTCAAACCCAATTACCCAAAACCCAAAGCCTACCAACTACCCAAGCCCAAAATCCCAAAACCAAAAATTACCCAAAAAATCCAAAACCAACAATTACCCAAACCCAAGCCCAAATACCAAACCCATTTAACCCAAAAAAAAAAGAAACAAAAGAAAAAAAAAGATTAAATCTTTTTTTTTCTCCAGAACCTCCTTCTTCCATTTTTCTTTTACTTTTCTCTCTCCCGAATCAGCCTTCACCCTCCTCTGCATCAATCTCCAGCTTCCTCTACCCCCTGCATAGCCCAGATCCTCTGCACCGAGCCATCATCGCCCCCTCGCATGCCCTGCACCGCGCCCTACCCCCCTATCACCGGACTAGCCATCATCACACCCTCGCACGCCCTGCACCTACGCCCGAGCCTTGCACCTACGCCCCTGCTCCCTGCTCTGCGCCCAGATCGTCTGCACTCTGCTGCAGCCTGCACTCTGCTGCACCCGGCCTTGCTTCCTGCACCAGCTTTGCTCTGCACCAGCTCCTGCGCTCTGCACCAGATCGCCTGCACTCTGCTTGCCCTGCTGCGCCCCACTGCCGGCAATGATGCCCCTACACGCCCGAGCCATCATCAGCACTCCACGCCCCTGCCTCCCTGCACACCGAGCCTGCACTCTCCCCTCTGCGCGCCTGACCCTGCAATCACGCCCCTGTTGCTTGCACGCCAGCCACTGCTGCTGCACAGCGCCTGCACTCCTGCTCGCTACAGTATATGCCAGACGAAATCTTCATCATTACTGATTGACAGGAGCAAGTCTTTTTATTTATTTATTTTTTTTTTTGGGTATATATATAGAAAAAATCAGATTGAAGGGGAGGTCGGGATTGATTTTGGGGGGTTGGATGGTTGGTTGATTTTGGGTCTCTTTGTTGGGGAGTTTCGTCTGAGTTTTGAGAGCAATAGAAGGGGATTTACTGGAGAAGAAAGGGGGCAACAACGGTGGTTGAGAGGAA